GTTTGTCACTTTAATTACTAATGCTAAGCGTACATTATTTCAGATAACATTCTGTCTTTTAAGACTAAATCTAAACGCAGAGGAGTTATGTGTAGAGCAAGATAGTGAAGTTTATTAAACAAAACTTAACAGCCTTTTGTCAAGGTGATGTTAGACTTGTTGCTCACCCCCTGCCCCCTCCATGCAATTGGCTTTTGGTGCTGTTTTGCATAGTTAAAAATAGCAGCAAGTTGTTTTATTCCTTTGTGATGGCTTGTTGAGGGAATGGCCGACAGTTCAGTGCAGCATCTCTTACTGTCCTGGCACTAGCTTGTGAGATATGGGGAGATACTGTGCATTGCAATGTATGTCAGAAGGAAATGATGTAGTTAGGCCTATTAGGAGTATTATTGCTGTTCTTCCATATTTAAAATCTAGCACAAAAGTTTTACAGGAAGTTTGACTGCATCTACATTTGATTCACTGTGAAACACACTTGCAGAAGCAAAAGTGTTTGTAGATATTAGCTACTAGCAATAACCACATGCATATCTATTTTGTTTTCACCTCATTGGATCAGTTTAATAACAAGAAAAGCTCCTGCCTAATGGGATAGATATTTGGGTGGCAAAATGCCCGTATCTGTGATGCTGGGAGAAAGACATAATGCTGTTACTGGGAATCAGCTTTTTTCTTTCTTTTGGGGATCCATGTGTTCAAATAACTGATAACTTATTTCCTATGCGATACTGGTGTGGCAGGTTTTTGTGGCAGGAAAAGAGAAACCAAAGCAATCCAAAATTTTAAATAGTAAATTATTTGATGTGCAGCAGCTCCCCCATCCCCCTCTCCTCCCAGATGTTTCTGAAAATAATGCTTGGAGAGATGAGTGATTTCTTCCTGAGAGTCCAAGGGATGACAAACACCAAACCCTGACTGCAGAGACCATTGTGATTCAGTAGCATATGCAACCATCCAACTAAATAGGACTTAATGATACCGAAAAAGCTGGTCAGAAGAAACTCTCTAGTTTTGGAGTTTTAGAAAGCAGGTATTCTTTATTACAGCACTGGATGCATGTGGGATCACTCCACCTATCATGCATACCAACTTGTCCCCCTACAAAAGCTTTATGCTATCAAAACTTGCATATTCATTTATTTTCCAAGAAATCGTAAGCATATTCATTACATTTCTAGGAATTCATTAATATATGTAAATGTCCCTTTTCACATGCATACTGGTCATCTTCAGGGTTGTCTGGTGATCATAGAAACTTTTGTCACTGTGCCCTTTAGTTAAACTTTTCTACTCCACATGCTTGGTTCATCTCTTGGCCTGTTTAGAACACTTCTGTCTCCAGAAGTGGTTTATTCCAGCATCACTACCTTATCAAAGATTCAACACCTCAGGTCTCCTGTTACCTGTTTTAGACTATAAACGTGACTAGGCCTGGCTGGTATGTCAGTGACTTTCAGTGTCACATTTTTTAAGCAGAAGCGTATGTTCTTTTCGGTATCATTAATTTGAATTAATATGTACCTATGTGCATGGAAGTGCCTTTTTGAACTGGGGCCTGTGGTCCTAAAGTGGAAGCACTTAATGCTCAAAAGCAGGTAAATAGAAAGAAATTGAAGCACTTGCAAGCAAAATACAATTGATATGTTGAGGTTATATATTTCTGAAGCCTGGACAGGAGCATGCAACTGGTGTTGCCTAAATTGTAAGCATGTAAGCAGTTGAACTGAGTGGGGTTTGGTGCTTTTAGCAGTTTGGAGACTGTGGAGTTTTGGGGTTCTGTGTGAGAGGATTCTGTGGCAGTAACTTTACAGTCATCTTTGCCTTCTCACAGCCCTGTAACCTGTATCTGGGACAAAAAAAACCAAAACAAACAAAAACAACACTAAAGGAGCTTGGTCACCACCGTGACCGTTTAGAAGGGTTGAGCCAGTCACCTTGAATGATAAACTACTTCCAGTCAGACTTGTTTGGTCAGTTTGCTGAGGGGAAAGTCACCTTAACAATGAAGTTGACTTGGCAAGGGTCACTCAACACCTGACGGAAGATCATGGGATGGGACAGATGGCTCACAAGGCACTGAAGAGCAGGAGCTGTGCTTTTTGCTGACCTTGCCCAGTCAGGGTTACCCAGCTGGTGGGTAAATGATTGTATTAGGATCCTTAAGACAGGGGATAAAATAAGCTTTCTTGAATGTGAAGGGAGTGCACCTTGGGAATATGCCTTGGAACCTCAGGATTCAAGGGCAGTTCCCAGATTTAGTGAAAACACTTCAACACTGCCTGGGACATGTGCAAGAGCCTGCTCTTCTGATAACACTTCTGGGGCAGGTTAACAAGGTGTGCACAGCCAGAATTTATTCCTGTCTGTTTTGGTAGAACTCATTGTTAATTAATCTAGTTGCCTGACTTTAACAGAAACTAGAGTTTGGGAAGAGATGGAAAGTTACTGGGACAAAGGAGTTCGTACAGCTAGGAATTTGCTGTAGAAAAATGGGAGGTAGAACTGGCTTAACTGAGGTGATTTTATAGGGACAAGTGGTAGAGCCAGAGTTAATGATACTATTTGCACTTGCATTTTGTGATCTGCACCGATGCTGGTATCAGGGCAAGTTCAGGAGTTCCTGTGTTTGTGCTTTTGAAGTGATGAGGGGAAAGCAGACCAACTGTGATACACCAACAGTGAAAGGCAGGAGAGACGAAGTGGGTGGTCTTGCTGCTCTGAGAACATCAGCTACAACTCTTCAGATGTGTCAGATGAGTGTATGTGATTGTATTTGGGTGTACTGTTGCCAGGAAGAGAACTGCTCTTGTATTACTTTAATAGCATTAACCATCCCTCAGAGCATGTCAGGGTTAAGGTTTACGAGGGAATCTTTCACTGTGGTTTTTCTTGTGCAGCTGAGATGCTGCAGGCACCAAGTCTTTTAACCTAGCTCACACTAGAACTGTTAATTACTAGGAATAAATTGGCAAGAACTTCTGTTCTTTTGCCTTGTGATGTGTCAGGAGTATCCAAGACGAGCCAGATATTCCGGTAAGTTATTTCAGAGTACACACCGAGGAGTACTGGGACGCAGAAGAGAATATAGGCTCACTTGTTGGATTAACAGGTGTGGGGAGCTGGTATTTCACCTTCCACAGAGCAATCTTGGACTCTGTGTCAGTTATTTGACCTTGCTTAATTCAGTCCTACAACAGTTGTTGCAACATAACAGGAAATGAGGAACCAGAGAAGCCAGTCAGGAGAGTCTTCTTGAACTACACAAATCTTCACTTTTTTTATATGACATTCAAAGGCTGAAAAAAAGACAGATAAGGCATTTAAGTGTTAAATAGTAATGGAATTAATGTCTCACTCAAGTAGGACATGCTGCCAAACTTTATGCTGGCAAACTGTTTGAAAATCCCAGTCAGACAGTTGCTGAATCAGTTATTTCTGTCTTTCTCTATCAACACTAAATACACAGGATGTGTAGTGGAGTTCAAAACTGAAGACAGTGTTTGCCAGGATCCAGACTTTGCATACAAATCTGCAGTAATAAATGTGCTTTCATTGAAGGAACTCAAAGCACTTTGAGGAACGCATACCTGTGTTGTGTTGAATGTGATTCATACTGTTTGTGTGGGTCTGAAACTTGGGGCTTGAACTGGTGAGTTGTCTACCATTGTAGTGGAAACCATTCTGTGTGCATGCAGATCTAGAATGTGAGCTTGATAGGAGATGGCTGACAATTGTGGCTTCTGTAGCACCTCTCAAACCCAGGGCAATTTGTAGTGTGTGAAGTTGTATTAGAGAAATAAATTCCAGTCTTTTAAAACATACAGTTTTATGGTGGAACTGAAGAAGGTCTACTTAAGATACTATGGGGTTTTTTCTGCCACTATTTAGAAAGTGACCTTAGTCCTGTGATATCACACAGCAGAATGAATCTGTTTTGTTTAGTTGCCAGCTATGAGTTTATTACAAGCAATATGATAATAAATTTAGGGGAGTTTGTGAGTATAATTAGATTTGTAAAATTAAACTGTCTTTACCTCCTAATAAAGTGTGCAGTTTCCACATACACACACACACACACACACGTAAGCCTCAGATACACTCAGACTGATTGTATTTTTTTCATATCTTTCTAAGTTTTTGGGGGTTTTTTTGTCTGCTCAGTAGGTTGTCAGTAATTACAAAGCTGCCTCCATGTCCCAGGAAAGGAAGTTAGGTTAACAGCCTTCACGAAATTGCGTTATTTTCTTCCACGTAGCATGGCCACATAAATGGCTAGAATGGCTAGAAATGGCTAGAAATGGAAGGAAAGGTTGAGTTTGTTCCTCTTCTTGTGTGTCACTTCAGTAATTCTGGTTAGTTTCATTGTTGCTTAGAGATTTAAGTAGTAAAATTGATAACTGTCTACAGGTTTCACTGTGTGCCGTTCTTGGGGAGAAAATGAAGCTAACTAATGGAATTGTCTGTCTGCAAATTCAGAGGATGTTGCAACAGTTAAATTCAGTGAGGTTGGCAGCATAACCATAAAGCTTACAACTTACACAAGATATAAATCTCCTGGGCTTTAAATGCATATCAGTATTGTATAGCGATTGATGGGTCAGTGATCTTAGCCAAGAAACTTTCCCATTTCTTAAAGGTGAAAATGATCCATTTTTTTAAAATGAGTATGTCACTTTTACCACTGCTTTGAAGATATAATCTGTTTGATTTATGGAAATACAGTAACCCAAACTCTCGCTGGTTAGCCAGTAAGCAGACAAAATAAGTAAGGATGCTTTCAGTAAATGCTTCAGTGCAACCTACTCTGGATATATCTTAAGGGAAGCAGCAGGTGTGAATGACTAGTGTATTTTTCCTCTTGTTTTACTAGATCAAAAATGCTACCTAGTAACTGGTCCAATAACCTGTGAGTTTCTGTTTATTTTAAAGACAATCTCTTTCTTCTAGAGCAAAATCATAGATTTTTTTAGTATATTTTTGTTTTCTTTTCTTTCCTGCAGGGGTTCTGCGGTTGCCAAAATAATAGGCAATAACGTAAAAAAATTGCAAAAGTTTGCTTCCACAGTGAAGATGTGGGTCTTTGAGGAGAATATTAATGGGAGAAAACTGACGGATATCATAAATAATGAACATGAAAATGTGAAATATCTCCCTGGATACAAGCTGCCAGATAATGTGGTAAGGCTCAGAAGCTAGTTATGAAGCAGAGGGAATATTGCTCATGCTGTGAATGGAGGTAGAAATTTGTTTTGTTAGCACCTTTAGGGTTTATACTGTTTCAGACTGTATGCTATTTTACTGATGAGATCAGAGATTTGAACAAGTAAAATTATGCAGGTAGGTAAATCCAACGCACATGCTCTTTTTTTTCTCCGGTCTCACTCTTGTCTTTGTTACCTCAGGTTCTGTATAGGGAAGCAAATGTGAAAACAAGGGCAAGATTAACAGCCATACTCATAAAAAAAAAATTAAAAAATAAAAAATTGGCCTCAACTTTGGAAGGGAGCTGGCTAGTCAGTGAGAATCAAAAGGATTTCAAGTACTATTCACCAATCCCTAACATTCTGTGATTCTGTGATACTCTGAAACTCTTAGAAAGTATTACAGGAGGAGAACTAGAGTATTTCTCAAAAAAATTGCAAGCCATTTGCAGTTGTGCTTCAACTATGTACCCTCACATCAGCATGTTAGATGTAGCATTGCCAGGGCAGAACAGTGGTACCCCACACCTATTCTCTGTTGGTGTAACATGATGGTGGGTGGGCAGGTGGTGACTCTGGCCCCAAAAACATTATAGGAAGAAACTGCAGCAGCTGATAATTCGGTAGAGATTTTGAGCAGGAAAAACATGAATTGCCATGCATTGCAGTTTTCTCTTTAACAATGATGCTGAAGTCCCATTTCCCTAGCCCTCAGCAAGTGTGGTGTTTCAGCTGTCCACTACCTGCTCATTCAAGTTTGTTCTCTTTATCAATAGGTCGAGCTTATTGTGACATTTTTAAACCTGGGTGTTATTTTAAAATGGTCATCAAGTGTTAGTAAAAGTGGAGACTAGCAAGTGACTTCAAAGCCACCTTCTTTAAGGGTAGACAAAATCTTTAAGTACAGAGAAAGAGAATACAAACTAGTAGGTATAAGAGGCCTGGAGAAGTTTGAGTGGATAAGGAACTAAGTAAAGAAACTACTTTTCTGCATGCGTTATTTTATCAAAAATTCAGATTATTTTGTCAAAGAGAAGGCAGCTTCTTATTTTATATTTTCTTACTCAAAGTACTTGTTTGAATGTGATATGGTACATTTTGCATTTTTTTTGTACTAACCATGCTGGTGGCTGTGAAGATGCCCCTTTCAAGACATAAAATAGCTTGTTTGAAAGCTTGAATTCTTCTGCTGTTCTGGGAAGCTTGTTACTGCTTATTTTCAGTGATGAAACACAGTAGTTTGTAGCATTCAGTATAAGACCAGAATGTGCTTTTACTTATCAGATAACACTTCTGTGTAGTGTTAGTTGTAAGAAGTTATGTGGCCTTTCTCTCCCATAACTACACAGGTTGCTGTCCCAAACCTTAATGAAGCGGTACAGGATGCAGACTTGCTGGTTTTTGTTATTCCTCATCAGTTCATTCATAAAGTCTGCAATGAAATCGCAGGACGAGTACCCAAGAAAGCACTCGGGATAACTCTCATAAAGGTATAATAAATGCTGTGCATTAATAACTGGGAAAGTGTCACGGAATCTTCTAAAATGAAAAGTCTCTTTGTATTATTCACTTGATTGTTGCTTTAAACTTTTCTACATGCAAGATTGAAATTTGTCTCGGTCCTGAGTGGGTTGTTATGGGGTGTTGTGTTTTAGGGTAGAGTTTGCAGGAATTGGAAAATGAGGCTGTTGCCAGGATTTTTAAAAAGAAGGAGGGAATGACTGTGTTTTGCACCACCAACTTTCCAGTCTTTTCTTTGTTATTTCCAAATGCATCATTAGATGAAGAACAGAGAACAAGCATAATGCTTTGGTTGTTAACACACATCCCACACACAGAGTTGCTCATTTAAGAACTGCTGAGAGAATTTCATGTGACTGAGAGGATAGCGCTCTTGTTCATGTCAAATATTATGTTGCAACAAGAGAGTCTGTTCAGCAAAGACAGTTTGAGCACAGGAAACAGGAGGGGCAGAGGCACAGGAAGTGTTTCACTGGAGTGTTTGTAGTTTTGGTGGCAGGAGAATTTTAAAATGTGGATAAGCTGCTTTTTTTGTTTGTTTTCTGTGTGTTTAGCTGCAAAGAATAAGCTATTCCCACAAGGTCTTGAAGATTCTGGTTTGTTAGTGCTTTTTTACTTAGTTGAGAGTAGGCCATTTCCTCAGCACACATTCCCTTGTTTACTGTCATTTCTGGAAAACGATACATTTTTGAATCTGTGCTTAAAAAGAACAAAAACCCCCTATCACTGCTTACTACATGCTTGTCTCTTTAGTTTGTCCAGCTGAGCCTATCAAATCTGTACTGTTTTGTCAGTGCTGATCTGATATATTGCTGAGATGTCTGAAAAAGTAACGCTTCCCAAGTGCACTTGCTGCATTTTGTAGAAAAACTTTTAGTGTTGTAGAAGTTTAAAATAAAGCAATGTTAAAAGAGCTGAATGCATAGCATCAAAATTACACAGCTGACCTAGCTGCCCTTAAGTTTATTGCTTTGAAGTTGTCTGTTTATGCTTCTTTCTTCTATAAGCTCAAGATAAACCTCATTCTCCTTTAATTTGCTAAATGTGATTTATGCTCTCATGTCCTTAGTGACAGGAATAACTCTAATGACATCGGTGGAGTAAATTAGGATTTATGTCAGCCTATCTGAAATCAGAATTCCCTTGGAATTACTGCTCTCTTATTAATTACCAGTGCTTTAATAGTGTGTTGATTAATGGCTATGTTTAAAAAAAAAAAAGGGGGGGGGGGGTACTTATTTAAAAAAAAAAAATAATCCAAACCCCAAACAAACAAAAAAGCCCCAACAAACAAAAAAGCCTGTACTTGGTGTAGTGTTAAGGAAACAGTGCCACCTGCCATGCAGAGCAGAGTTCATTGCCTGGCAGCCTGCCACTGTCACATTGTGACCCTGCATCAGTAGGACATCTTTCAAAAGAAATGGTGGGTGGCCCCTTTTATTTTTTTGCAGGAGAACGCAAAGTACATGTCAGCTTTTATGAAAAGGTATAACTCTGCATCATCAAAGTATCATTTAAGAAGAAAGGGCAGAGATTTAATCCAACAATGAAACTAGGTAGTAGAGACATTCTTTCATCTACTTTTGCAGCTGCTTTGTGCATGCTGTTTTCATCAAAATAATATTTTTAGTGGTCTCATGATGCTAAGCACTTATGCTGTTAAAGTGGGTTGTGTTAACTTTGGCAGTTAAAGTGCAGTCCTCTGAAAAAAATATCATTAGTGGGACACCTTGTTTCTTTGCTTTCTGAATAGCTTGGCAAGCTAGCAGTGTGTCATCTTTTAGTATTTTTTTTCTTTTTCCTTTTCTTTTTCTTTTCTTTTTCTGGTTTTAACAGTCTGATCTTCAAGCAGAGCCTAATATCTGATAATAAAACTGAGTCTTTGGGAAATAAACACATTTGTCTGCTTGTTAACCTGTGTTCCCATTGAAACATTTGCATCTGTGTTGCTTTACGTGTGTTCTGATCACTGGTGTCTGTGAAAACCTCCAAATCATTGTGTGGGTGTCAGGGGAGGAACCATATCCCACTTAGGATGGGGCACAGCAGTGAGTGCAGGAAGCAGGGTAGGTGGAGGTCGCTCAGCACGCTCTTCAGGCAGCCTCAACTTCAGTCTCATTTTCATTTAGCTGTATACAGGCCCCAGGGATTGCTCTGGCAGGCCTGTGAGGACACAAGGGGTAAGAGCACAGAACTTGACTTGCATTGCCTGGGGATCGTTGCTGCCCAGTGGCAGCTCCCATATTGGAGCCTTGGCTTTTGGAGGAGGGAGGGGTGTTTGTTTTTTCTCCTGTATCTTGTTGTTCAGTATGGGATTTAACTCTACAAGAAGCAGGTGCAGCTCTCCTTGACTTTGTCAGAAGTTGCATCTGTTTCATAGCGGGGCTGCATTTGGCACCTAAGCCTGTCTGATCCCCTTTCACTTGGATGAATAACTGTTGTGTTTGTGTTCACATTTTTGGAGTCATTCCCGATGTGTGCCTGCTTTTCTGTTTATTAATTGCCTGCTTAGGAAGAGAGGCCTTACAGTTATTTTGTGGGGACATTTTTGACACTGAGGGGAAAAATACAACATATATATATGTGCTTGCTTTCAGATTCTTTATGTATGGCTCATCACAGATGAGAAGGCAGAGCTGTGCATTAAGTGATACAGACTGAAAAACACCGCAGAAAGGCAAGCAGGCTGTGTTGGCTGTAGTTTCACTGGCTGGTTTTATACAGGCATTTCTACGTGTCTCTTGATTGCACCGTGTTTATTTAAGGAACTGATCTGTGGAAATGCAAATTATTGCCTGCCTGAAATGTCACTACTGGCAACATACATGTGCATGTGTACGTGTGTCTAGAAGTAGCAGAGAATCACGCTGCCTTTTTGCCTTTAAGTCATAATTCAAAATTACCAAATTACAAAAAAGTACCAAATCCCCAACACATAAAAAAATAATACTGTATAAGATGTAGTATACTGTGGGAAAGAAAGACCATTTCAGTAGCTTCTCTGTTATGCCCCTGTTCTAAAAACTCAAAAGGAGTTTGCATTTAGCAGGCTGGAAGAAAAGAGGGAGAAAAGAGTTTTGTGAGAAGAAAGTGGTCTCATTTGCAGTTCTTTGTTCAGGGCAGTAGACTCTCTTCTCCATTGCAGCATTAATCTCGGGGGTGATCTTTTCTCACATCCTATTTCTGCCCATACTTTCATGCTTTGTAAAGATTGTGTTATAAACAGACTAAAAATATCCTTAGAAGTTAAATTATTCTCAGTTGTTCAACTTTCTACCTATCTGTGTACAGCTGTCCCATTTGTAGTGGTATTCAAAATGATTAAACTGGGTTTCTACTAGTAAAATGTTGTTGGTATTATACACAAGGAAATCTGTCTCTGATATTTCAATTCAGATACCTCTTCACAAAACAAGTTATTGGGATGCCATTTTGTGAGTTTTGGTGCAATTTCAAATCCAGGTGCAGGCCTGATTCACAACTGATGGATTGGTGATACATCACTGGTTTTAGTAAGGATATGTGGATAGTGAGCAGCTGAGATTCTGAACAAAACTGAATACTCAGCACTTTGTAGAATCAGGGCTTTGATTGAGCATGGAATAAAAACTGTTACCATCATTTAGAGTTTAGTCCTAATTCTTACGCCACTACCTCCTATGGAAAGAAGACATCTTGGAGAGGTCACAACAACAGAGGGTGGTGAGACACTGGAACAGGTTGCCCAGAGAAGCTGTGGCTGCCCCCTCGCTGGAAGTGTTCAAGGCCAGGTTGGATGAGGCTTTGAGAAGCCTGATCTAGTGGAAGGTGTCCCTGCTCATGGCAGGGGGGTTGGAACTGGATGAGCTTTAAGGTCCCTTCCAACCCAAACCATTCTATGATGATTCTATGATTGTATGAACAGCAGAAGTTTCACAGGTAGCGAGTCTGTCATTTTTAGTCTGTATCTGACTAGGTCTTGATGCATTTCTCACCCATGGACAAGACTAATTGTGATGTGCTTTCTTCTGTGCTGTGTCTAATGAATGAATTTTTAGTAATTCCATTTAATGTTGGCTGCAGGGAATAGATGAAGGCCCGGAGGGACTCAAACTGATCTCTGATATTATTCGAGAGAAGATGGGAATAGACATCAGTGTGCTGATGGGAGCTAACATTGCCAATGAGGTGGCAGCAGAGAAATTCTGTGAAACCACAATAGGTACTGTTCCAAGTAATAAGACTGTTTAAAACGTGCTTCTGTCCTCACAGTTGCAAACCAAACAGCTCAAATTTTATTGTTTTTGACATTAGCTGGCCATTATCAGAAACTGTTGGGTTCTTCTTGGTTTAATATTGAATTTCCTAGAATGTTTACACTTCCAACAGTACTAGGACAATACCAGGAACAGAGGGAGGAGGAGGAGAAGGACTAGTGTAATTTTACCTACTCACACTAGGGTTGTGACCTTAGCAGGTGAAATACTAAGCATGCTTTTTATCACCCTCCACATAACAGACTGCTTCATTTTATTACTGCGCTTAAGGTTTTTCTTGGGTCTGTATAGGGGCTTTGTGTGGATAAATGATTAAATCTTCTGTACTCCAGTTCAGATGTTATGGTCACAGATGATACCTTTATGCATGTTTGGGTTGTTTGGTTTTTTTTTAAGGTATCAATATCTTATTTTAATATCTCAAAATAATGAGTTCTCTCAAAAGCTAGGCATGGTTTTAGTTCAGTGTTGATGTCTGCACACCTTTGCAGCACAAAGGTGTGCTTGTCTTGGATATCATGGTGTCTAGATAGGCATATGTGTGTGTATGTGCATACAGAAAGTGTGATTATCTGTATGCACATAGCACAGAGTTCATGTTATTTTTTTCAGTGTTAATTTTTGGTTTTATGCATTTTTTGCTTTGTAACCTCTCATTAACAGCTTTTGCATTGAACTTATTTTTGAATGGTTGAATTACCTCTTAGTGCTCAGAAACATTTGTCAGTGGCAACATACTCAATTAATAAAACATCCTTGATGTGCCTTTATTAGAAGGTATTTTTCTGGAATGCAGACCTTAAAAATAATTGGTAGAATTGTACCTGCTGTATTTTTAATTCACCTTTGTTTTATTATTAATTGTTCTTTTTAAAGAGAATGATCAAAAAAAGAGAGAGTATAGAGAGTTAATGGAATTGTTATTCAGAATCTGCTGCTGAGCAGACAATGAAGTCCAGAATAACTCAGTGCAGAGATTTTAAGTGCAATGTAAACATGTCCTTAGTCACTTAAAACAGGACTCTGTTTAGGACGAAGATACAACCACCTTATCTCTGCTTTAAAATATTTTGGCTTTCACAGGAAAGGTTAAATAACACCAAAATAAATTACTCATTTTTAGCATTCCTTTCTCTCTCTCAACAGGCAGCAAAATCTTGGAAAATGGCCTTCTCTTCAAAGAACTTCTGCAGACTCCAAACTTCCGAATAACTGTAGTAGATGATGCGGATACAGTTGAGCTTTGTGGTGCTCTGAAGGTGAGGTGAACAGGCTGCAGTTGGTACACAGATGGAATGGTGATCTTTGTAGAAAAAAGGATAGTATTTTAATTTAAATAATTAAGTTTATTGTGGTTTATATAATATATAGAACTGCTACATAGCATTTCTGGAAGAGCTACATGGGAAATTAGGGAGCAGCATGTTCCGAGAGTTGGCTTTTAAACCTTTGTCTCAGCATCTCCCAAGTTCTCTCTCTACATCTTTCATTTAGCTTGCACGCAGTCATGAAACAAGTGTTGGTTTCATCTAACTGGTCAACGTATTTCTAAATCCATTTTAGTTCCCTTTTTCTTTTTGCAATAGTGTGTTCACAAAAAGAAAGGAAGAAAGAAATTGGGTTTAATCCTTTGTGTCTGTTGACAAAACTATTCCCCTCTTCACTGACTTATGTTTTAGATTTTGTGGACATACATGGCATAAGGTGCATATGGATAACCACATACAGAAATGACCTGAATAGGAAAAAAAGATATTTTGGACAGTTACTCATCTGGAATAATTTTGGTAACAAAACTGATGCTGACAGGAAGCAAAGGCTAGCTTAAACCTATTCTTATTGCTAATTTTTTTCAGGTTAATTTCCAGGCCATTTGTGAAAGGAAGGTGTTAGTCGCTTGGCACCCTGGCCAATAGTTCTGTAGTTCACGTTATCTGATATCTATCATGGAAGCATTTCTGATGGGTGTAGTGGTTTAGTAGATAATTTGTCTTACTTTTTATTTCTTTGTCTTGGACAATTAATTTGTATTGCTTTGTTTTCTCTGTTGAATTTATGTGTAAACTACACCATTCACTTGCAAAGCTACCGTGCCAATGATTGATGTCTTTAAGCTAAGGAGTTCTGATTCCTGCTCAGTGGGAAGTAGATTGATAGCTATAATAACTGATGTTCTTGATAGTTTTGTCTTGAGAGCTGTCATAGAGACAGCTGAGTCCTGAGAAGGAAGAGGTCCTGGGTCTGTGCACTGGGCTAATGGGATAAACTTGGTGTAACACGCTTTGGAGTTGCTGTGTTTGTACCAGTTCCTCAATGGAGGAGCTCGTAATGTGGCTCCACAGCCATTGCTTTACAATGCTGCAGTGATGTGGGAGGTTAGCAGGAAAGAAATCCTTGTGTATAGACCCATAAAATTAGTCAAAAAGTTTTACAGATTTATTTTTCTTTGAGATCTGCTCAGCTTCATGTTTTCTGACCAGCTTAAATTTGCTTGATAGAGGAGTTCTGTCCCGGGTAATTTTTATTCCAGACAAATCTCATGCAAGGATGCTAGAGATGAGTGTGCCCATCAAACTGAGCAGCCAGTCAGCAGACACTGAAACTCCACTTTAAACATCCAAGTCAGGCAAGATACCACTATCTCTTTGTAAGTGCAGAAGAACTTAAATCAATTATTGTTCTTGACCTGGAAAGATACTGAGGTGAAACTTGTGTATATTGTAGTATCTTTGTAGTCTTGTTTTGTTCCTCCCTCCTGCTTCGTTATTCATCATGCATCCTGCAGACTGAACTCTCTGGTTGCATTTTGAAAAAACTGCATGTATTCTGTGTGCTCTGGTCACTTGGTTTTGATTGCAGTATATTTTGTTAACTGAGTTGAGAATTCCAAAGAAATGCATGGTATGAGCTCTAAACAAAAAGCGAATTAAGGGTAGATTAACTTGCTTAAAAGTACTGTGGATTTCTTGCCTGAAAGGCACGAACTGGTATAAAGTGGCATAGATCAGTCATGCTAGTAAAGGTGATGTTTTTAAACATAGAACCTCAAATAAAATGTTATTAAAATCATATTTTTGAAAGTAATTTTTCATTTAAAATCCTGTCTAGTTTAATCCTAAATCTTGTGCTGACAGCATGTAAATAATTTCCTGACCTGTTTTTAACTGACACACTGCAAAATTTTATTAATGCATGGGGAACATGTATGCCTGGGAAAGAAAATGAATAAGCTAAAATTAAACAGATGTGTGTGTTTTTATTGCCTGTGCAAAGCAAATGCAAAACTCAAATGTGAATAGTGAAATGTAAACTTGAGCTTTTTTCCTTAGAAGTCGTACGTTCTTATTGGGAGAACTGTTTGCTAAGGGTAGCAACAAGCACTTTTCTTTTTTTATGATTAATCTGATAATCTTTGTAATAAAAAATGTGAAAAATAAGCATCTTTTCTTGTGGTTGTTTTTAGGGAAAAATCGAAAGTGTAACTCCTCTCAGCTGACAGTTACTTTATTAAACTTGGAAAGTTACTTCATGAAACAATAGTAAAAATTAGCCTTATTTAACTTGCTGGAAGGAGGAAATTCCTATTTCAGAAGGTGAGAGTGTCGTGTTGTGTCAAGAGACAAGTATAAAAAGAGAGGTTCTGCTCTCTTTCTGTAGCAGTGCCAATCCAGAGCGTCAGCAGCCTCACTGCAACTGCAGCTGAGAGGACAGAAGTAAGCAGGGACACATGCCAGTCCAGACTCTTTTCTTGGATGTGGAAATAGTAAAACCAACTCCTGTGTTGGTATTTAAAGGATGAGAACTAGAACATGATGAGAAATAGTATATTCTCCCAGCTTCTGCATTTTTCCATAAATACCAGCTTGGGAAAAGGAGACTTTACTGGTATTTCTGGCATAATAGACTAGATCTTGTTAAAAGTCTGTACTTATTTGGCTCTTTATTTCTGCAAGCCTTTCTAAGCAGGGAAGATTTTCAATGTGAATGGTTGGGAAAAAATGCAGAAGGGAAACAGAGTGCTCTGAGCACAGCTTTCCCTTACAATAATGATTATTTTAGGTTTGAAATTTGTTTTTTGAAGCATGTTTGAATTCAGACTATAATAGATATTGCAGCTGGGTGATCATGAAAGAACATGTGCTTGATTGCTATTTATATGTGGATATATATTAAATATCCACTTCATTTACTGTATTTATTTTATGTGACAGTGGGCTGATGGAGATGTACTGAAGTATAGTAATCAGTGCAGTGAAACTGCAGTCTGCCACCAGCTTGGAGACTGGCTGGATAAGCAGTGGCAGTCGCTTTACAAAACGTGATGATACTGAGGAAGGTCTACAGCTGTCTACAGTAACTTGTTGGCTGTAGGAACAAAAAGTGCTTGGCATGTTCTTTGTTCTTCTCTCTCAGGATTTTTTTTATTTAGAGGACTAAAGCACGTGTCACGTTTCTTTGTTGACCTTTTCTAAGGGTTGAGGTCAGAAATTAACAAACTTCATATTTGGATAGTTTAGTTTCAAGGTGTCCAGGTGGCTTTACAAGCAGCCTGACCCGAGGCACCTACAAGCTCCAGCTGCCATTTGCTAGGTGATGGAAGGGCCTTCCTAGGAAGTGCTTAGAGGTGATGGCACCACTGTAAGTAGTGTGTGCAGCTGTGCACACATATGGATGTGTTCCTGCATGCTGATGGATGGGATGCTACAGTGGCGTGCAAACCCAAGGTTATCACCTCGGAGGTGTCCTTAGAGTCCTTAGTGCCTGTGCCAGTGCATGGTCTTCAATCAAACACCACAGATGTGGGGCCAGACTGAGCTGGTGGAGGAATCTCACAGTGACTTGAGAAGCAATGGAAATGTTGGTAGCTGCGTTCTTGGGTGTGAACTACTGGAACCACCCAGTGCAGAGGTGCCCGGGGTGAGTGTGAGGGAAGGAGAAGTGATGATCTAATCTATGGATATGGCCAAATGGCCATGCTCCAGCTGCCTGGTGTGTATGGACAGGCATCTGGAGAGTTAGAAACCCTGAAGTGGCAGCAGCCAAGGACCAAGACAGAGGTGACAGTTAGTGTAGGAAAGAGAAGGAGCAGCAGCTCTGGTTGCTTCAGGCCTATTTCTAAATCTTACGGCTCTAGCTTAGCCTTAAGCAAAGAAGTAAGAAGCGTAACGATGATTTATTGTTTACTAGGTTACGTAACCCAGGATTGTGACTTAGAAAGGTGGTCTTGCAAAGTGCATTTATGGCAGTCACCGTTGGATAGTCAGTCTGGGTACTGTAGAAGTTGATTGTGGTAATTACTCTTTCCTGAGAGTAAGTGGAAATGAAAGCCATTATTTCTATTCCATTATTTGTATTCAGGTTTGGCAGGGGCGAGCAAGCAGTTAATGCTTTAACCTCTCTGACAGTCCTGCTGGTACTGTCTTTGATTTGTTGGGTCTTCATTTGACCTCTCTCAGCCATGATGTGAAAGAAGGAGCTTCTCCAAGTTCATGTGTAAGTAGGAGGGAAAGCAGGCTGTGCTGAGCTGTGACACTACCTCGAGGGAGGCTAGATGTCCCAGGTGAATTAACATTTCTGCTTAGTTCTCTAATGATCCATTTAATTATGAAGAGGTAGTGGTTGCCTCAGAAACGGTCTGTGAAGTTGTCTCCGTAAGCATTCCACAAACTTACTGTAAACAGAGCAGGACTGTGAACTGGATATTTCAGAGCACTGACTGTGTAAGAGAACAATCTGTCAGCAGAGTCTGCAGACTTGTTAGCCCTGGTTTCTTGGTCATTTGTTGACCTTGCATTTGTGACCTGCAGCATGTTTGCAGCAGGTCGTGTGCAAGTAAAAACCCCTTGTTCTCATTTGTTCTGACATGTACTGTGAGCACTGCTTGGCATCAGCGTTTGTTTTCTGGAGCATAGCTTCACTATCCCAGCAGTGAAATAACTGAATCCAGTCCTTGCTCGTGTTCTAGAAAAACTAGGACTAGGACTAACACCAGCTTTTGGCTACCAGACCAGCTAAAGACTTGCCTGGTAGTGCAGAGTGGTTTATTTTAGTTGCTTAAAGCCGTATGTGATGTAAAACCACCCTGTGCATGTTGCTTACGAGATGTGTGCTCTAATGTAAAATGCTGTTAATGATGAGATGAGGGAAATGAATTTGCTCAAGTATGAAGTGGTTTTGAGAGCTCTGAATCCCTCAAGCGAAGAGGAACATTGTGTTGCAGTCATTTTGGGGTTGGTGTGACAGTATTTTTGAACCTTTGGTACAACAGGTTTGTCTGTTGGCTAAAGTTGTCCTTGCTTCTTAGGCTCCGATGCCCCCATGTCGTGTGTGCAAATGCAGCCAGTGTGTGACTCCTCTTGCACAAATCTGTACCCCTGCACTTGCAGGAACGCTTGCACCTTCGGGTGTAGGCTTTGGCAGTGGCAGTGTTCAGGAACAACTGTATCAGATACAGAAAGGTGTTTTCCCCAGATAGATACAGGATTCTCCTTCCCCAGTCTGCTTCTCAGGGGATCGCTGTAGTGCTAGTGCCATTAGGCTCTTGTGTGTTCATTTGTGTTTTGCTTATGGATCTTCCTGAAACAAACTCAGCTTAGTGCCCTCACCCAGAGATTTCAAGTACAAGCTGCCTGTTTTGGTCTTGTTTTGGTCTGGAAGATGACCAAGTCTCAAGTTTTGTGAGATTTTTTTGTTGTTTTGTTTTTAAAAGGAGTGGCTCATCTTCCAGTAAAGTGTGGCTGTCAGTGTGGTTTGATGCAGTTCTCTACATTAGACACGAGAGAGTTGTCATAGATTCTTCAAGGATTTGAATCAAACAAGATGGTGGACCTCGTAAATTCGTAGTTGTGGCCTGAGGATGTAACAGTCTCCTTAGTCTTGGTGTGTGTCACAGTTCATGTAATATATTTTACGTAATAGAGCATAATGAGTTGTCTGGTTTCCCCATTATTTGCAAACGATGTGTAAGAACATACAATGGGGACATTTTAGAAACAAGGAGCTTAGTGTTTCAGAGTCAGACTCACAACTTGCCTTCTTCCCTACCCCATTTCCTCAGAAGTAACTACTCTTGCTATGACTCGCTTAAAACAATATTTCTGTTGCTCCAAAGACAAACATTGCAAAAGGTAGAAGGAGACAACAATCTACCATAGGTCAAATCGTACTGTAAATTAAGATTAGGTAGCCTGCTTCAAAGTGGAGTGGAAAGTCAAAGCAGACAAAGTTGGAGGGAAGGGGAAGCTTTATTATTGGAATGTTCAGGAAGTGCATGGGAAAAGCCTGCAGGTTGTCAGAAAATGTTTTTGTTTTTAGCTGAGTGCTAAACACTTGCAGGCTTCACATCAATTCCATTTAAATGGGTTATCCCATCTGAAAACTTCTAAAAGACCCGTTTGACTGCCTCTTGCTTTGCCACTAAACGAACAAATATTGGAGGTTGCTCTGGGAGAGGTGTCTGATGAATGAAAACATACCTTGACTGAATCACCCCAGCGAAGATTTAAGCCAAGATGATCAGAAGTACCAGCTTTAAAAGTCTGATCGTCTTTTGCTGCTTCAGGTCTGATGTTGAGATACCTGTCTGCAATTTTAAAGTCACCTATTGTTGGCGCTTTAAGAGCCAAAGCTGCAGACAGCTTCGGCCTTGGGCAATTAAGTTCTGACTTGGGGTGTAAAAATAGATTTCATGAGAAAAAATGCAAGAAAAACAAGATAAGAAAACTTCTTATGTGGCTACTCAGAAGTAAAAAGAATGCCTCATGGACAGGTGGATTTATCCAATCAAGTATTGTAACCAGACGTGTGAACAGTAGCTTATAGCCAATGAAGAGTTGTTTGTGTGTGTGTGTGTGTGTGTGGTTAGCAGCTTAAGAGTATATAAGTGATCATGCAACCAATAATAAAGGTCTCCAGTAGAATTCACATTGAATCGTGTGTGGAATCCATGGGTGAATCCCTCTTGGCAACCTTTAGGCCTCAGCTAGCTGCTCAAAACCTCTGACCTCGTTTGATTCAGTCACCTAACCATGACTGGCCACACAGCACTGCAGCTGCCTGCAGGTTTTGGTTCTTACAGTCCAAAAAGCCAAACCAAAACCGGTTGTTAATCAGCTTGTTGCTTTCATTAGTAACTTCTGATTGTTGCTGGTTCTTCAGCAACGGTTTAAGTTGATTTGGTTGGTTGGTTGTTTTTTTCCCCTGCATGGGGTGCTACATTAGGTACCATAATGTTGGTTCTCCTGTGGTTTCTGTGGAGGTCACTGCTGCTGTTGCACACAGGAAGGTATTACTATATCTATTGTTTCCTTGTGTGCTTTATCAGTACATCAGAATGCCATCTTTTTTGGAGTATTGTAGGTTTTGGTAGGGTTTGGTTTTGTTTTTTTCCCCATAGAATGGTTTGGGTTGGAAGGGACCTTAAAGACCACCTAGTTCCAACCCCCCTGCCATCAGCAGGGACACCTTCCACTAGACCAGGTTGCTCAAAGCCTCATCCAGCCTGGCCTTGAACACTTCCAGGGAGGGAGCATCCACAACTTCCTTGGGCAACCTGTTCCAGTGTCTGACCACCCTCACAGTGAAGAATTTCTTCCTAATATCTAATCTAAACCTCCCCTCTTTCAGCTTAAACCCATTTCCCCTTGTTCTGTCACTACCTGCCCTTGAAAAAAGTCCCTCCCCAGCTTTCTTGTAGCCCCTTCAGGTACTGGAAGCCGCTATAAGATCTCCCTGGAGCCTTCTCTTCTCCAGGCTGAACATCCCCAACTCTCTCAGCCTGTCCGTATTTTTTGGTAGGGGCAAACTAACCATGGCTAATCTCTGACTCCCAAGCCAGAAAATAGCTCTTATAGTCACTTCACTCAAATGTCCCTCATCTAATCTCTGTGTTCATAAACCAAAGAAGGGACTGTAGAGCTGATTGTTCCTAAAGAAACAGCACATTCTTTGTAGAAGGCTGTCACCAGGTCTAAGGGAAAAAAAAACAACCAAACAACATTTTTTACTAAGGAAAGGCCTTCCTGTGTGATGAACCTTCTGGAAATCCTTCATTAACTAATACTTTTATAGGAAATCTGCATACTTACAAGGGCTGAATACTATTAGCTTGGCTGAATTTGGTCCCTTAGCATATCAGCGTGGAAGCCAATAAATGTTTCTTAGATTCAGTATTACTTTAATAATAAAGAAAATATGGATGAAAGGGCTGTGGGGTGTCGTAGACTGTACCCCTACCTCCGGGCAGGAACAGCTCAACCTTGTTTGGCTGTAGTGTAACCTGTTTGTTCTTAAAGACAGTCAATAATAATAGCTCCACAGCCTCTGGGGTAACTTACTCCAGAGCTTTAACTACTTTTATCCTTGGAAATATTTAGTAATATAAGACTTTTTGAATTATTTTTTTTTTTTAAGGTTATCCCATAGACCTCAAAATCCCAAAACGAAAAAGCCCGGAACAACCTAGTCTTAAACTAGTAAAGTGTTTGCAGTTCTTAATGACACCTGCAGTCTGTCTTTTGGTGTCTCCTAGGATTCTGTAAGCAATAATTGACTCATTTCCCATTTGTTTTTCCTCTCTCATTAGAATATAGTAGCAGTAGGAGCCGGGTTCTGTGATGGCCTTTGCTGCGGTGACAACACTAAAGCTGCCGTGATTCGCCTCGGCCTGATGGAGATGATTGCCTTTGCCAGAATTTTTTGTAAAGGTCAGGTGTCCACTGCCACTTTCCTGGAGAGCTGCGGAGTCGCTGATCTCATCACAACGTGTTACGGCGGCCGGAATCGACGTGTAGCAGAAGCATTCGTTAAAACTGGAAAGGTACCTTATTCAGTGGGCAAAATCCACTGTTTCAAGTACTAACACTCCTGGTTCATGGGAGTGACAGTACAGTTATCTGAGACATCCTAGCTGTACTGAGTGAGGACCTGTCTCTTTCCCCTCATCTTTGAGTGTCTTACAAGGCTAGAATGAGTGTAAAGGTGTTAAAAAGGAGGGGTGATTTTAAAAAAAAAAAAAAGCTGGAGAGTTAAGATGTTGGGAGATGCAGATTTAAGAAGAATATTTACAAACAAGAATACAGGAGAATATTATATATACACTCACTCAAGTACACTTTTGAGAAGGGAAAAACCATCAGTAATTTTTTTTCTTCCCCATCCAGATGATGTTGTCAGGTTTATGAAAACTCTATCATAGCTCTCCTTTTTTTCCTTTCCTCCCACCCCTCCCTGTTGTTTAGTCTATTGAAGAATTGGAACAAGAAATGTTGAATGGTCAGAAACTGCAAGGACCACAGACTTCTGCAGAAGTGTATCGTATCCTCAAGCAGAAAGGAATGCTGGAAAAGTAAGTAAGAGCAGATGAAGCAAGTTCCACATACCCCTTTTCTGTCTGCATAACTCTGCTTCCATTTTTAGTCGATATCTCCATGAAGGTAATAGCCAAAAAGAAAATCACTGTAGTAAGAGTAGCTTGATCCCCAGTTAAAATCACAGAGAGACGTTAATAAAACCTCAAAATAATATTGCTGTAGATAGAGCTAATAGTGTGACATTAAATTTGGGAATATCCTTCTGTTTACAGAATGTATTATTGCCTCCTGCTATCATGGAAAAGGATAGCAGAGTGTGTTTTAACATGTGAAAATAATAAAATACATTCAAATAGAAGCTGAGCTTCTTAAAGAGACTTGTGAAGAAGCTCTTCAGCTCATTTCATAGTAGTAAACTCATTGCTTATCTCCAAGGAGACGACCTTTGTTATTAAGGATCTGTGTAGCTGATCAGCTGAGCAGAGTGGCTGCTTCTGGCCACATGTATTCTAGCAGCTCTCTCTCCTAATGGGACTTCCACTTTGGTCTAGGGTGAAACCTGCTATCTGCTTGTCCAGGTCGGGTTTCTGTGCCATGAAATTAAGTAGGTTGCCCTGGCTTTTTTATTGGTATTCATCTGGGTCAGAATATGTATGATGCCCAAAGCCACACACACAGTTGTCTCCTTATGAGATTAAGGGATGTGTTATCTCTATCTGTTCTTGTTTGTAGATGAGGCAGAATCAGAAAAGAAATGACTGCCAGTCAGAAGACCAAGCCTTCTTACTTTTTTTTTTTTCTGAAGGAGTTTTTGAAGTCTAGTTTTAATGGATCAGCTGCATTAAATTGCTTATTTTTTAACATTATCTTTGGGAGTAAGGCACCTAAGTCTGTCTCTGCAGTGTAAAATAATTAAGCTAACTGCAAGAAAAAAAAAAATCTAATTAAAATGTTGGCTTCAGTCCTTGCTGTGTATGATTCCCCAAATGAGATAGGTTGCTGTGCTTGTGGTTTTTTGGTTGGTTGGTTGGTTTTTTCCCCTGTTCTATCTTACAGCAAATTGAGTGCATTATAGAAGACTTTGGGTTTTGTTTTTAATCAAAAATATGAAATCAGAGAGTTGCTAATTTCTGTTTGGTATACCAGCATTCAGTTCTTTATGAAAGGTGTCACTCAACAAGACTTTTGAAAGCAACTTTCAAAGTGTTTTTTGAAAACACTCTTGCTACTGGTTTAAAATACAAACCGCAGTAAAACAGCCATGGTTTTAAAGTGAAGAGGTAAGAGTAAAATTTCATACTCTCATCCTGCAAAATGAGACCCAAGGATACGTAGAAATATGCAAAAGTCAAAGTTCAGCAGAAGATCCTTGGGAGCAGGGTTGATGCCTGTTGATGTTTACAGTGCAATTTGTTCATTTGTTCGTTTCAGCAGCTGTAGAACTAACCCTCTTTACCCTGCTCAGACGTGTTGGAGTTTGCTGGCCCTGAGCTGAGCCGGCAGCCAGCCTTGACGCTGCTCTCCCCACGTGAAGTGTGTCAGACCTGTGCACAGCTGAGTAATGTTCCTTGATAAACAGCCAGACCTATGTATCAAGATGTGGTTTGTAGCAGTAGTACTTCTTCACTGAGCAGTAACTCCCAGTGCTGTATCTAAAGCTGTGTGAAACTGGCTTTTGCTTCAGAAGGTTCACGTTTCGTGGCCGTCTCTAGTAAAATCTCACATAGGCATAACAAATTTTATTTTAGTGCCTACATTTAAGTTTTTACAGTAAAAGCAAATTCAGGACCACCAGCCCAATATATTACACAAACTGAGTGATAAGTGAGGCATGTTATTATACATTTGAGGGGTTTTTTTCTTCATATTTCCTAGTAAGGGTTTTGCACCCTGAACAGTGGAGCGTTGCATTTGAGAGAGCAGCTATGTGGCTAAATGCTAATTTTGGTTCCACCGATGAAATAAAAACAAAAATCACATCAGTTGAATTGAACCTGAAATAGTTTTTGCTATTGTTGTCTTCTTCTCCACAAAAATAAGCCAGAAGGAATGGATCTTACAGCAGCCTTCCAATACCTGAAGGGGGCCTACAAGAAAGCTGGGGAGGGACTTTTCATAAGGGCAGTTAGTGACAGAACAAGGGGAAATGGGTTTAAGCTGGAAGAGGGCAGGTTTAGATTAGATATGAGGAAGAAGTTCTTCACTGTGAGGGTGGTCAGACACTGGCCCCCCAGAGAAGCTATGGCTGCCCCCTCCCTGGAAGTGTTTAAGGCCAGGCTGGATGAGGCTTTGAGCAACCTGGTCTAGTGGAAGGTGTCCCTGCTGCTGGCAGGGGGGTTGGAACTGGATGATCTTTAAGGTCCCTTCCAACCCAAACCATTCTGTGATTCTATGACATTAAAATGTTTCAGATAATTCAAAATGTAGCATTTCATTTTTGAGCACTTGTAGTAAAAGCCATAGAACGATGGATTAAATTCACAAGTGTGCCCATCCCCTCACATTTTTCCCCTCAGTAATGCAAAGTAATGCCTTCAGCCAAGTACAAATCCCTCACCTCCCCCTGGGAATGCAGTGGTCACCATGCTGTCACAGTTCTGAATGGCTCGTGGCTTCTCTTGTGACCTCTGGCTCCCTTTGAGGAGTCTGGTTCAGAGCTCTGTGGTGATACCAGTTACCTCAGTATAACACACGCCAGCAGAGTGCACGGGCAAGCGTACATGCTGCTCAGCACTGCGGCATTTGTGCCTTACAGATCAAGCTGTAGAGTGACTGATGGGACCACTTTCCTCAGGAGAAAGTCCTAGTCCAGATGTATTCTGGATCACCCAGAAATTAACTATTTCACTATCTCCAACGCTCCATATTTTTTTATTTCAGTCAAAATAACTTTGTGTGTTTGGTTAAAAATTGTCAATATAAAAGGCCACGCTGAAATGTTGTATTTATTTTGGTGAACAGATAATGAATCCCTAAAATTCACCACGCTCTGTATGAAAATGAGACTTGTCTGGCTGTCATTGTCCAGGATAGACAAAAAGCAAATACAAATTTTTGCAAAGCATCTTGGCTGTAACAAGCCTTCAGATTATCAGAGAAGCCTGAATAATTTGAGGGTTGTTGGACATGTGGCCAATTTAAAAAAGAAAAAAGAAGAGATAGAATTTAGTGTTTCAAAATCCACATTTAATTTTGGACTCTTATTAAAAACTTGACCTTCAATTTCCTCTTGAGTCTCCGTGTCATATTCTGCAATTGTATTATCAAATTATTGCCCAGAGATAATGCATAACTGATGTGCCAGTCACCCTTTTTAAGCATAGATGAGTACTGCTATAAGAATGTCAGGGAAAGATGTGAGTGGTTTAATTTTTTTATTATTTTTTAGATCACTTAATAATTGTGCCATACATAATGAATGTTGCAGGCTCCCCTACAGCTAGCTAGGCTTCTGAGAGTGACTCGTTTTAGAGATGCATGTGGGCTCTGTATTTACCCAGTGCTTTTCAGCCCAGCATTAGTGCTTGACAAATACTAAAAGAAATTGGTTTTTCAGTCTCTCTCTTTTCCCTCCCTCTCCTCACCCCATTTTATTTCTTTCATGTAAGAAAATGTTACAGAATAAACTTGGGCTGCGTTTGCTTTCTCTCCCCTGTTTCCTCAGGTTTCCACTCTTCACTGCTGTGTATCAGATCTGCTATGAAGGGAAGCCTGTCAAAGAGATGATATCCTGCCTTCAAAGTCATCCAGAGCACCTGTAAAATCAGCCAGGCCATCGTACTAACGCAGCATCCTGCCTTTCAGATTTATACCTGGGTTGAAGTGGATGTATCGTTGAGCTTTGTTCAAAGCTGCTCACCAGGCAACAGTAGCAACACGAGTGTCTGGGAATGGGTACTGGTTTTGTTTATCCAGCCTGGTTTGAGGCAGCACGCAGTGTGGGCTTGGTGTTGATTGTCGTTTTACCGGCTAAAATACAACCGCTTTCAGACACGCAACGCAGAAGTGGCACTGCATATCTCGTGTGGTTACATAAGTGTACTTCCTGTGTGTTCCTGCACCATAAAACACAGTGCTTTGTTGTCTCCTATTAAGGCCTACTCCTAAATCCACTGGATGCTGTGGGAAGAATCCCACTGGTTTTGATGGAGACTGAATTAAGCCTGTAACCTTGAAATATTAGGAGTGTTTCTATTAGAACTTGGGTTTATTCTGTATGAACAATTAAATTTTAACATTTTGCATGCTTCTGGTTATATCAATTTAAGCAATATTAATACAAACCAAGTGGTAGCAGTTATTCAGGGGGGCTACAGGGATATTTTAATTAACTCTGGTGAAGAATATTTTGATTTTTGAAAGTCTTTAAAATTGTCAGACTATTTTGAAATCCAGTTTCCAAGTGAATTTAAAGTTTTTAATTAGAGTGTTTTAAAGGGAATATGCTAGAGGGGGGTCGTTAGCTCCCCTCCTGGTTTTTAATCCTTGCATTTTTGTATTTCTCTGTTTCTCCCTTGCTGTTCCCAGGTGTTAGGCTCTTGTAGAATCCCACTCACCAGAACAGGAGGGAGATGTTGACCTGGGGATTCTGGAGCCCAGGGTTTGTGTTAGTGTTGTACCTCTGGTCATTCTTCACTGATACTGTTTGGTGGGTGAGGAAGGATTCTCATGGGGTATCTATCCACTGCTCAAAATTGTCATGCTGTGTTTCTAGCTTAACCATCAGCTACAAAGTGTTGCACTCCACACAATGCTCCAGGGAATGTTTGGGGAGTTCCCTGGTAGATCACACTTGTGTTGTCAGGAGTTAGGTGCCCGCAGTCATTTCAGCGCTTGCCAGTGACTGACACACCAGCAGGACTGCAGCCCTGAACCAGCCTCCCCAGAGAGCCAGTGAATGCTGGAGTTACTCTTTCACTGGACAAAATTTGAATGGGTGCTGGATCAAGTCCTTTATGACCAATCTCCCAGAAAGCTTCTCAAAGCTTTCTGTTTCTTTTATTGCCCAGGTATTTCAACTAGGTTTTTTCAGGCACTGTTGCTTTTATGAGGGAGGTTAATTGTATTTATTATTGGAGAAGTTGTGGAGTTTGGGAGTAGGGTTGGCTTGGTTGGGGTTTTTGGATTTTCTTTTGAGAAGGTTGATGCGAGAGCAGATAGAGAAATGAAATCTGTTTTGCTTTTCTTGCGTACTAAACTGTTTGGGGTTTTTTTAGGTAAAATATATGCTAAGTAGGTACATAAAGAGTGGACTCATTCTTGTGGCTGGGAGACAAGGGTTACCACCGAGATTCACAGAGCTAAACAAGAATGCGTATCCACTCCAGACCTCTGAGCAGTATCAGAACTGCTGCTCACTGTTCTCAGTGAGGTTTTTAGACCAGAAATTGTGAGCACAAGCCCATCCTGAAGCTCTTAAGTTGTCATTCAGAACTTGCTAAAACAAAGGGGATGCCTGGGAATAATTCTGATACTTACTTAAATAGCCTGGATTACTCTGAAATAGGTGAGCAGTGGGGCAGGAAGTGCCCAGGGGTGCCATTTCTTGTGCTCCTGTAATGTTTTGCATTATTAATTTTTGGAAGATCTCATGAATGTCATCAAGATGAGAAAAGTTATTTTGCCTTATTTCTGATTTAGTGCTAAATACAACAGATGGTTAGAGATTAAGTCACGTCAGCTGTTGGTGGCAATTGAGGAAATCACTGGTAGAGCTGCCCTGGAGTAAGAACTCTGCTTAGACAATTAAAAGAACGTGTTATGATTGGAAGCACTGTCACACTAACGCACACGTGGAGCATACACTCCTCATTACTTAATAACTTCCAGTGTGTCTGCTTATGCTTTGTGGTGGTTTTTTTTAATACCAAGCTGATTTGCTTTGCCTTTATATGTGTATATATACATAATATATATATAAACTTTTTTTTTTTACATGCAATATATAGAACAGTAGCATTTTGTAAGATACATAAAGGGCTATGAGCTAAATGTGGTAAATTAATATGTATTTTAAGATTATTTCTTTATTATTCCAGTACTACTTCTACCACTGAAACCTCAAAATCTGAATCGTTCTTGTTTTGTACAGAAGCCTATTCTAAGGCAGATCCAGAGAAGAGGTTTTTACAGAATCCTTTCCTCCAGTCTGCAATGATATTCTTTTTCTTTTCAGACAAAAAATGAGGTTTCAGTAACTAAATAATTTATTTAAATTTCTATAGATACTTCACCTTTTGTATTTGCTTTTCAGTGCTTGAGAACATTCAGCTTGGCACTAGATATTTTTCCCCCACTAATATTTACTGCTCATTAAAAGACTGTGATGTGATACTGGAATTGAATGGGAATGGAATTGAATCCTGTTCTACAAACACTCTGTTTTGCCTCGTACCAGGATAGTCTTACTGAAAACTAACCTCTGTGTAAGGTTTTTGCATACAAGGTTGTAAATTTGCAACTAATTCTTGGTTTATTAACATTAATTACTAAGGAAGGCATTATCTTCTAATGATACATACTCAGCTTGCCCTAGACATGCGTACTGTGTGGTTTTTTTTAAAGATTGTGAATGTTGTACCCGTTTGAAGAGTTAGTACAAATAAACGTTTTTGTCCTGGGGATCACTTTGGTTTCTGTCGTCTCTTTTTACATGGCTTGTGATCATAGACTCATAGAATGGTTTGGG